TTTCCATCAGTGAAACTTTATTTCCCATGGGAAACCTGAGGAACACCCAGGGCAAGCTGTAACACGATCGAGGGACACCGAGCCCCTCCCCAACGAAAAGGGTTCCTTCTTCAGCGCCCCGACTGTCGGGACTGGGACGTGCTCAGCGTGTCGCGCGTCGTTGCCGATCTCCCCCCCCCTCCGAGACCTCCATCCTGATCGCCAGGTGGGGCACGGGCCGGAAGTCCTCCCCGTCGTACGCTTCCCAGCAGGGCGCCCTGGCGGCGTAGCCGAACTTGCTGCCCTCCCAGGGCGGCGCGACCGCAGTCGGCACCAGCGCCCCCAGAGCCTCCCAGGGGAATTGTCAGGATCAACGAACATCGACTCGGGAAATCGGATCGAGCCAGCAAGTGCGCCGGACCCGGGCGCAACGACACGGAGTCGAAACCAAATCGGATCGGCTGCGCCGGGATGCACCACCTAGCGCGCCGTGCAAGCATCGGGCCGCATCGGATCGTCGGAGTATCGGGATGAAATCGGATCGGGCTGGCCGAAATCGGCATCGAATCGGACCAGTCGGCTCAGATTTGGGGGGGCGGAAAAAAGGGGAAAGGGAGGAATCTGCGCGTCTGGGCAAATGAGAAAAAACAATAGGAGCAGAAGTATGAGGAGGAGGATGAGGAGGAAGGAGGAGGAGGAGGAGGAGGAGGAGGAGGAGGAATACGAGGAGGAGGAATACGAGGAATACGAGGAGGAGGAGGAGGAGGAGGAGGAGGAATACGAGAAGAAGGAGGAGGAGGAGGAATGCGAGGAGGAGGAGGAGGAAACTTGAGGATCAGGAGTATCTGGGGCGTTTTTCGTGCGTTAGCGGTTCCCTGGGAGGCCTCTCGCCGCCTCGGCTGGGATCCCCTGGAGCTCCCGCCAGCCCTCTGGGCGTGGGCGGTCTCCAGAGTCTAGAATAGCTTTCTGTGCCAGCCCCCCCACTCTCCCCCTTCGGGGATGGGGTTCAACCCCCCTCCCTCTTGCAGTCAGCCCGATAAGTAAGGATGTGCAACCTTCCCAAGGGAACCATTGCATCCTGGCCTCATCGGTCCATCCTTGGCCACTCTCGTTGAACGCGCCCCGCTCGGAAGCTTCGAAATAGGCGTCCCAAGCCTTTGCATCCTTATCGCGCATCATTATGATACGGGCCGGCTGTACCCCGTCCCATGGACCTGAACGGGGTTGGTCGCGAGGGGTTGGGGTGGTCGCGACAGGTTGGAGTCTCCAAGATGGCAGAAGACGGCCCCAAGAGCGCCTCAGAGAGCCCAAGATGGCCTCCAAGATGGCTCATGACAGCGCAAGATCGCTCAAGATGGCTTCCAAGATGCCCCAAGAGAACCGAACACCGCCCCAAGACGGCTCGGCCAAAGAGCTCCCCAAGGAGGCCCCGACGAGGCCAACAACCTCCAAAACCTAAGGCAAATCAATGTTGTTTGCTTTCTTGCCTCTTGGCTACCGATGGCCATCCGGCGCCTCAAGATGGCTTCAAGATGTGGCCCAAGAGGGCCCAAAGCGGAGCCCAGGAGCGCCCAAGAGCGCTCCAAGAGCGTCCCATCCAAGATGGCTCCAAGAACGCCCCTAAAGCTCCCAAGGGCGCTCAAAGAGGGCCCCCAGATGCGACCAGACGGCCCAGAGAGGCGAAGAGGCTCCCAACAGACCCCTAAGAGGCCTCAAGAGGATCCCCGAGGCACCCAAGACGCCCAAAGATGGCCCCAGGCCTGCCAAGATGCCCCCCCCCCAGACGACACAAGAAGCCTCTAATAAGCTTCCAAGCGTTTAGGGTTTAGGGTCCACTAGCCCAAACTTGCAGCCCACTTGACCGTGTCCCACCCACCCATGACCCAAGACATATTGATCTCGATGCGGTATCAACACGCGACTCGCAAAACGACGACGAGGAGGACACCGATGACGACGACGTTGATATTATTTTCAAAACGACGACGACGCGGCCGCGCAAAGACGGCGGGGCGGCCCCTGGGGAAGGGCACGGGGGCGGCTCTCAACCCGAAAGGGTCGAGGTCGCGCCCGTACCTTTCGCGAAGGACAGTACTGACGCCATGCCTGGCATACCGAGGCCATGAACGTCTGCCACGAGTCTGGGCGAGGGGAGTACCCTGCACTTTCGCAGGCTCTCCCAGAACGCCACTCCCGGTACTCCGGGAGTTTGCAGATCCTCCCAGAACGCCATTCCTGGCGCTCCGAAGGCAAGGATTTGCATGAGGGGTACGTCCTGGGATTTGCGGATCGGGCCAGAACGCCATTCCTGGCGCTCCGAGGCCAAGGATCTGCGTGAGGGGCGCACCCTGGGATTTGCAGATCCTCCCAGAACGCCATTCCTGGCGCTCCGAGGGCAAGGATCTGCGTGAGGGGTGCGCCAAAATGGGGGGGGCGGCCGAAGGGGGGACTTTAGGGCGGCGGAAGGGATTTTAGGATTCAAATCTTTATAGGCTCTTAGTTTAAACCACTGAGACAGCTGAATGCAGACCAAGCGGAGCAGGAGGTGCGAAGAAGCACCAAAAAGTCGAGAAGCACGAGAGGGCACAAAGTAAAAACTGCAGGCGTCAACAGGGTCTTCCCTTCCCACCGCTTCCCAACATCATCCCATCTACCACTGATCCTTCCCATGGCAAGGGCCCTCATCGAGGGCAGTTCGTGCCCTCCCTGAGGGCAGCGAAGCAACGAAGCTAAGCAGTGTATGCATTGTAAGGCTGGCACAGTTTGCACAGGCTGGCATGTTTGGCACAAATGTGTGGCGCAACTGTACTACTGGATCGATGCTAAACTAGTACGCTACTGCTTATGTGCAGGCAGGCTGGCATGGCAAACTCAAGAATCATAGTATATCCTTCCCGCCCTCTCCGATGAACTGATGATGTTCCACCTCCTACCTATCCGACCCCGCACGTGGCCTGGGCCCTCACCGAGGGTGGTTCTCAGTTCTCGCCCTCACCGAGGGTAGCTGGGAGTCCAACATTCGCGGCCTAAAACTGCGAGGTCGCCATAGATCTTCAACATCAATCCTCAAACTCATACGCTATTATATGCAAGTGCCCTCACCGAGGGTTAAAGTAGCTATGGCAAAAAGGAACGGCCTCCCATACATAGTCTGTCTTGGTGGCCACGTGCCTCACGGGCCCGCCACCACGGCCAGGGAAATAGAGGCGGAGCAGACCGAGAAGCGGGGCTACATTCAGCCGCTGTTCGTCTCGGGCGCCGCTGCGCTCGAGCATACACCGCGACCTCCAGGTGATCGGTCCACCGCAGGTTGCAGAGGAAGCACCGTGCTTTCGCAAGGAATGCCTTCTGCTCCACCACTACCGGACCCAGTGAGTGGGTTGAGAGCTCCAAGAGGCCAGCAATTCGAAAAATTGTATTGGACGGAAGTCTTGGAGGAGGGAATCTTATGGTCCGTCTCATTTTGAGCCTCCTGTGGGCCAACGTGGCCACAGCTGGAAACTTCTCACCCTGCTTCTGCTCCTCATCAGACTCGTCCTACTCCTGCTTCTGAGGTCCCTTCTCCTGCTTCTACTCCTCCTCCTCCTCGTTCCTTTCTCCCATACTCCTTCTGCCTCCGCTCCTCCTCCTCCTCCTCCTCCGCCTCCTCCTCCCCCTCCTCCTCCTCCTCCTCGGCCTCCTCCTTCCTGCTCAATCATCCTTCTCTCCCTCCTTCTCCTCCTATTCCTTCTCCCGCCCGCATGCTTCCTCCTCCTCTTCCTCCACCTTCTCCTCCTTCTGTTCTCCCCCCCTTCATCATTTCCTTCTCCGACCTTCAGCTCATCCCCCTTGTCCTCCCCCGTCCTCCGTCCTCCGTCATCGTTCCTCCGACTCCCCCTCTCCTTCTCCTCCTCCATATGTTCCTCCGACCTGCTTCCCCCTCCACGTTCTTCTCCTCATCCTCCGCCTTCTCCTCCTCCTCCTCCTCGTCCTCCTCCCCTCGCGCGCGCCGGAGGAAGAGTATAACAGTAGAACGAGAAGGACGAGGACGAAGAGGGAGGAGGAGTAGGAGGTAGGGGCCAGGAGGGACGACGGCGGCAACGTCGACGACGACACCGATGACGACGGCGACGACGACGACGACGACGACCACGACGACCACGACGACCACGACGATGACGACGACGAAGACGACGACGACGACGACGACGACGACGACGACGACGGCGACGGCGACGGCGACGGCGACGGCGACGGCGACGGCGACTGCGACGGCGACGGCGACGGCGACGGCAACGGCGACGGCGACGGCACCGGCGCCGACGACGATCCCAGGAGCCGAGGGGCTGGTGCAGCTGCCCAGGTGGGCCTCCCAGGGCCACCACGCCCTGGACGACACCCGCGCCCGCACGATCGAGGAGTCGCCAAGGTGCTCCGGCACGGACACCACCCACTGCCCCCGGTCCTCGGGTGCGCCGAAGAGGGTGGCCGCGAAGTGATTAAGGGTAAGGTGGACTGATCTGAAGTACGTGCGCGGACGAGGGGGTGCCGTGTTGGGAAGAAGAGGGGGGGCCATTCAATCTGGGGATAGCATTGCCCCCCCCCCCGCCCCCGATCCTTTCTGGGACGCCTGGGTGGCCGACTCAGGCCAGAGCCCCTGGATCCACAACAATGCTGCTGTCTCGCTCTTATTCCGCCGCCTGTCGCCGAGCATCCTTCTGCTTCTGGCGGCGCACCCGCCGTCGATTATGCCTCCGCCAGCTTCCGCCGAGGGCGAGGATGAGCCGAAGGTGGGGCCCTTGCTTGAGGCCCCCAAGAGGCCCCCACGACGGCCCCCACCCAACGAGATTCCAACAAACATCCATTAAGTTTACAACCCGCAACCCAGGCACGGTGGCGGGACTTGCCGTAGGCAGCTGGATACTTCCGCCAGTTTCCGCCGAAAGTGAGGATGAGCCGAAGGCGAAGCCCTTTCTGGATCGCCCTGGGTGCGGCCTGTGCACACGGAGGCCACCGCATCGCCGATGCATCGACGATGCGCCGGCGGCCTCGGGATCCGAAGATTGACAAGACACCATTTGGCAAACCACCATTTAGAGAAAGCTGCCGCGGGCACTCCTCGTGCAGACGGCACCGCATTCCGAGTGGACCCCAGCGGGGTAGCTAACCGACGTCCAAAAACCACCGAATCAATCCGGGGAAACGCACGTCGATTAGCGAGACCAATTAGGAAATTCACCCGCAAGCTAATATGCCAATGTCGAGTGAACCAGTGCAAACTTTCTCGGTCGACTTGTCTGGATAGGCGTTCTCTCCATGCCCGAGGGATGGAGAGCATCGTGCTCCAGCCCAGCTTGGGCAGCGTGGATCCTCGGCGTACCAGACGTACAGCTGGCCCACGTAACCATCCTTAGACGTCTCCAAACATAGAGCCCCGCCGACAACCATCGTAACTACGTAATGATTCCACTGATGGGTGTACTATGAGATGAAAGCAAGGTGTATCGATGGTGTTTGGATAGTCGGAGGTTGGACTGCTGAACTATCATCACCTTTCATCAGCGCTCCATAACGGTCAGATACACATGTTGATCGACCTGCCCTGTAGAATATGGTGATCTATGTTTGGCAGCAGCAAGAGCAGGCGAATGAGGCGGCGGAGCAGCAGGGGAACGCAGATAGAGGGAAGATGACGGGTGAATGGAGGAGTGGTGCAGGGAGCACGTCGGTCAGAATCCATGGGGAGGAGTGAGGCGAGAAGGTGGGGTAACTGTCCTGACGAAGGAGTCGAACCCTATGCAGCTGCGTGTAGTGCGGGGCGCAGCCCTCATGTACGGCGCGCTGCGGAAAAGGCGCGCAAAAGCATGCTGAACGGGACACGATCGGCGTGGTGGGTGTGCCCAATTGGGCGGATATCCTACTACGCCAACGCATCCAATGAGGCCGTAGACGGAGCCCACCTGGGCACGCACGATCCGCATGAGGAGGGTCGGAGGTTTGATGAGGGGTGAGGGGTTGAAGGGAGGAGAAGGAAAAGCAGGCTAGATGAGAAGGAACAGGGATGAGGATGGTTGGGATGGAGGGTTGAGGGGGAGAGCTTGGGATGGGATGAAAGCTTCCTCGTCTTCCTCCTCCTCCTCCTCCTGCTCCTGCTCCTCCTCCCCCCCTTCCCGATCTCAGCGAGACCAGCTTCGCAAGGGAGTTGGACACGACACCGAGGACACGGACAACAGCTATGTCGAAGCCTGCTTGCATTTCGCCTTCTTCAACCTGCGCTACCATCAGCTCACGCCTGCCAACTGGCACACCAGTGAATGTTATCCCGCAAAGAAGAACGAAGAGCACGGGCCGAGGGGATGACGCTTGCTACACATCTTACAAGTCCTGGGAAAACGGGTTCTGTGCCACCTGCATCTCGGCTCGACGGCCTGAACCTCTTCCTCCTTAACACCACGGATATGCGCGGGGAAGGCGGAGAGAGACTGCCATCCTCGCATCCATGGCGACGGCATACCGTCTGAGGCAGGCGCAATGCAGCTACATCGACAACTTCAAGGACATGACCAACGCTTTCCCGTCCGTGGCATGGACGTGCATGGAGCAGGCGGCTCAAGACCTGATGCGGCCACGGGACCTCCGACTGGCGCTACAACGCATACGACGTGCACATATACAGCTTCCAGCAGCCGAGGGTACGCTCCGCTTTCGTCCGACGGAGGGAGGCATCATGGGGGGCCCGTTCATGGTACACTTTCTTCCTCGTGCCTTTGCCTACGCCATTGAGCCATGGACGCAACACTGGAGAAAACAAGATGATGCTGACAGAATGCTGGTGGTGAAGTGCTCCATTACTTACACGCAATTGGATCGCAGCTTGCACCTATACGCGGACGGCATCAACAAGAAGGTACTTCAGCACCCACATGTACCCAAGGAGTTGAACTGGTTACTTAGTATTGACAGGCTCAGGCACAAGCTACAGGACTGTGATGAACTACTGGGTACACAGCTACGACACATTGTTCTGGCGCAGAACAAGAAGAAGCATATCAACATCATCGCGACCCACGGTTCAGTTAGTGCGATAGCGAGGCGGCAACTACGACAACGAGAACAACGTGAATTGTGGCCAGGACAGCTGGTGGATCAGGCTCGCTACGTGGGACCCACTGTTACCAGCACGCAAGGTTTCGGCATCGAATTGGCACAGGGGATACTGGCCGCGAAGGCGGCGTGCTTCTCAATGGGTTCATTGTGCAATGCTGCCCGCGTCCCGTGGAGGTGGAGGCGCACAGTGCTGCTGGGGCGGATGGTGAACGCAGCGCCGTCTGCTGTGGAAGCATTCCTACCGACCCAACGGCAGTACGACACCCTCGACAATGCCATTGCGTCTCTGGCGAGGATTGCGATGAAGGGTCGAGCATGCACTCGCAACGAAGACGGCACGACCAGGTCACTGACGAATCACGAGGTCCTGGCGCACTGGCGGATCGCGCGCTGCAGTGCTGAGCTCAGAGTGAGACGCTTGAGGTGGCTGCAGCAGGCGGCGGATGACCGCAACAATCATGTGCAGCTCTTTGCCTCCCTCTGCAGCTCGATCTGCGGGCAGAGGCATAACACTGCCGCATACGACGACAGTCTCAACGCCTGCGCCAACCCGTGGGCCAAACGAGCCCAGCTCGACCTGGATTTCCTGATTGAGCATTCGGAGGAGGCACAGGCACTCTTTGAAGAAGCGGGCCCGAACATTGTGGCCTGGTGAAAGGACCCGATCTGGAGGGCAGAATTTGCAAACATCGACGTCAGTATTCTCAGGTCCAGGGAGTTCAAAATCAATGTGGCGCTCCCCCTCTACAAGCCCCACGAGCCCCTGAAGGCCCTGGAGGAGGAGGAGGGGGACATCCAGGAGGCGGTGGAGGTCTACAAGTGCGAGGTGGAGGTGGACGGGATCAGGTGTGGACGGGTATTTCATAGTAAACGAGCACTACGCACACACGTTCGGCACGTACATCACACCATCAACATGTGTTCGCTGCTCACTCCGACCAACCAGTGTATCGCGTGTGAGACGGTGTTCGCGTCGGTGGTCACGGCTCGTCGGCACCTGGTCATATCGATCCAGCGGGGCTACTGCGTTGTTGACATGGCTCGGTCGCTCACCCTCGCCGAAGACCCCAGGCCCCTAGAGTGCCCAGGGTGCGCCTACGTCGCAGGCTCTTGGCTAGAGCTCAGACAGCACCTGGCTCGACACGCTCCATTTCTTCCTGACCAGAGAGCCGCAGCCACTGTGAGCAAGAACACCCTCTATGGCGGCGGCAAGCTCAAGCTCGGGCAGCGTGCCGCAGTGGATGCCCGACGCGGGCATGGGCTCGGACGTCGGATGGGGCCTCAAGAAGACCAACACGAGAGGGGCCGACCTCGGCTCCGCAGCAGAGGACGAGCAGCACACGGTGGCGAAGCACAAGAAGGGCGAGGAGGTGCTCGCAGACGCGACGTCGGCTGCGGGCAAAGGCGCCAGCAAGGCGCAGGTGGTGCAGCAGCTCGTCGCCATTCTGGGCAAGCTCGTGCTGTCGCTCGCGGGAGAGCTGCGCTCGGTCATCAGCGTGGTGTTCGTCACGGCGCTGGTGCCGGTGAGCTTGCCGTTCATCACGGCGGCGATTCAGGCGAGCAAGGACTACCACGAGGAGGCGATGCAGCTCAGGGAGGCGCACAAGACGGACGAGAACATCGACACTGCGCGGCTGGGCTCGCCGTATCTTCACGTGTGGAAGGATTTCGTGCGGCCACTTCTCGCGAGTACAGAGGAAGGCCAGGCCAGGGACACGCTCTCAAAGTACTGGAAGGATCACGTGATGCAGTACGATCTCAAGGACACGGACCTGGACATCAATCAAGTACTTCAGAGTCAGGGTCCCACAGGGGAAAGAGATCCAGAAGCGCTCGAAGAGGATGGAGAACAAAGTCAGGCTCTAGTGGGCCCTCACCACAACGCAGATCGCCACGGAGCTGAACCCCATCCTCCGCGCGGAGATCGTCCGCCACGGAGGGGAGATCACGATCGGAGCGCCGCCGAGGGGTGTCTTGGAGAGGGACGCGCGTGCGCTCTTGAACAAGCTCGAGCACAGCTCGACGAAGTAGGTAGAAGGCGCATGCAGCAGCTTTTGTCCAGCGACAGGCTCGGGCAACTAATTGCGCAGGGGGTCGTCAGCAGGGAGGCTATGTTTTCATCCCTTACCTCTCCTCTCCTCTTGAGCTTTTCCCCCTCCGACTCCCAGGGCCGAAACACTCCTGTTGTCAAAATTCAGCAGCGCCCAATAGGGCGCGGGATGGGTAGAGGGAAATCCCGTCCCCCTTGAGTGTGCTGGTGTTGGCTCTGCGCCGTGTGACTTTCGGGGTGGGATGCCGTTGGGAGTCCATCTGCTAGGTGACGCGTGAGCGGAACCGTACCCAGTATGGGTAGGTCAGTGTGGGCTGCCACCCCTGCGCCCTGTGCTCGTTCCTCTTGGGTTGCAGGGGGGCCAGTGTGTCTCCCACCAGTGCCAGTGAGATGAGCAGTTGCAGCCCGAACCTCGGAATGCCGCCGAGCGAAGCCAATCGGAGAGTAGACCACCCATTCTCTCGTCGCCACGGGATGTCTAAGTCTAAGTCTCTTCCCGATCTCTCGTCCACCTCATTCCCTCCCTCCCTCCCTCCCTCCTCCCTCTTCCTCCCATCCTCCAGACCCCCCAGACCCCGCAAATCTGACGTTGAGAGAAAATAAGCCGCATAAACAAAAACTTTCGAAACTCCGTATGGATTTCTTGGATTCGCGCTGAACCCCCCTCGCGCACAAGTGGCGGCGCCAGAGGCGCCGACAAGGGGGTCCGTGCGCCGATCCGAGAAATCCGCGCGGAACTCCGACGTTTTATGTTTATGCAATGTCGCTGTCCTCCAGCCCTCTTGACCCTCCGGACCCTGCAAGAGCCCGCCAGACCCTCCTGCCCCCCCCACACCCCGGTTCCGCAAACCCGCCGCGGCCGTCCTCCCCCAGGTCGTGGCCCGCCGAGCCGTCCTGCGCGTAGAACACGCGGCCGTTCAGCATCCCAGCCGGCCGGTAGGCGCCCCGCAGGCCCCGGGGCAGCGGCTCCTCCGACACGCTGCACAGCCTCACCGCCGGGCTCCCGGGGCGCACCCGCGCCCCGGGCGCGCCGACCCACTCGCCGTCGACGAGGAGGCCGTGGGTCGGCCGCGCCGGCCGCTGCCAGCCGTGGTCCTCTGGGGGCGGGCCCCGGCGTCTCGCCCCCGCCCTCTCGAGAGGGGCAGGGCAGGGCAGGGGACTGCGTCGGGCTACGGGTCAAAGTTGCAGGTCTTGCGTCGGCACCTGCACACATCGAGTCACAACGACCTGCAGTTCGCGCGCACACATGCGACGATGACTGGCGGCCCCCCCTTGTCGAAGGAGCCAGAGGGGGAGCAGGAGGAGGAGGAGGAATTCAGCTCAGCCAAGGCTTTCCAATTGGCCAAGACAGCCAGCAGGCGGGAGCAGCTACGTCCGCACCCTTCCTCACCCTCCACCACCTTCTTTTCCTCCTCCTCATCCTCCTCTCACGCTGCCCCCCTCCATCCCCCCACCTCATCTTCCCCTCCGCTCACTCCTACTCCTCCTCCTGGATGGACGTCGAGAGGTTTTCAAAATGTGGTTCTTGCCTTAGCGCCGCGCGCATTCGCTTGTAACATGTGCAAGAGTTTCACGAATTGAGGGCGGGTGGCATTCAAAATGTGGCGATCGCTTTAGCGCCGCGCACATTGGTTTTGAACATGTGCAAGAGCTTCACATATTGAAGACCGGTCGTGTTCAAAATGTGACTCTCGCATTAGCGCCGTGCACATTCGTTCCAAAAACTTGTCTGAGTTTCACGGATTGAGGGCGGGAGGTGATCAGCATGTGGCTCTCGCATTAGCGACGCGCACTTTCGTTCAACACAATTGCAAGAGGTTTGCTGATTGAGGGCAGTTTCTTTTCAACATGTGGCTCTCGCCTTAGCGACGCGCGCATTCGTCTTAAGAAAGTGTAAGGGTTTCACGGTTCTCATGGCCAACATTCCCAAACTGGTGTTTTGGAGCGATTCAGGACTGTCAGGGCGCAACAGTGACATTGATTCACGGAGTTGAATTTCCAAACAATGTGTTCTGGCACGATGTAAGATCGTCGAGACGCAACAGTCAGGTTGACTCGTGGTGAAGTCCTGAGAATGTTGTTCTGGCACGCGTCAAGATTCCTCGATGGAAATGAACCATCGTAGGGGCCTATGGGGAGGGAGCTGGGAGGGAGGGTGTATTCCGACATCATTGATGAGTCTTGGGTTTATACTGGTCCTCCTCGACCTCCTCCTCCCCCTCCTCCCCCTCCTCCTCCTCTCCCTCCTCTTCCTCCTCCTCCTCCTCTTCATCCTCCTCCTCCTCCTCTTCCTCCTCCTCCTCTTCCTCCTCCTGCCTCCTGGTCTCCTCAGCCTCCTCCTCCTCCTGACCAATACGGCGACCGCACGAACGAGGCAGCGATTCGCATGCCAGGCCCTGCGGAGCTTGTGACCGTCGTGGACACCAAAGGTGATTCCTCGGAACCCGAGGTGGTGCACGCGCAGCCCGTGCTGGACCACGTGCGCGAGCGCGTCGAGGTAGTGTGTCTCGGGGATGTTGCGCAGAAGCGTCACGACTTCAGGACGGCACGGGCGGCGATGATGTCCAGGATCCTGGCTCGGCAATTGGTGCCGCGTCTGGGGCCGAGGCCGACGTCGATGTCCGCGCGGGGGCGGCCTGGATGGAGGTGGTCACCGCGATCCGCGCACGTGCGGGGCAGCTGGGCTTCTCCTGGAGGGGCGCCGTGTGGCACCGCGGCAGACTCGCGCGGACCAGGCTGCGGCCTTCACACGTCGTCCCCTCCCGTGCCGCTGCCCGCCACGTGCCCGGAGATGCAGCTGGTGCACGCCGTGCGGCGGCCCAGCCATGGGCAGGCCCGGGGTGGTGCGCTGGCCGCCGTCGCACCTGACGACCCAGGCATGATTGTCCGTCGCGGCGCGGCAGAAAAGCGATCCGCTCGCGCGTCCAAGCAACCTGGGCTACGGCGTTGCGAGTTGTCCCGCACGCAAGGGGACCAGGGGAGGGTCCCGCATGAAAGAAGACCCAAGCATGCGATATCCAAATTTGTTCCATGCGCGGTCTCCGGAAATCCCGACCCCTTCCCCGGGGCCGGCTTTGCATCCCCAATCGATGTTGATGGCCCCGGGGCCCAGCGAGGCCCCCAGTGGCCGAAAACGTGCCAAAACCTCCCGTCGTGTTCTGTTTGGGAGAGAAGGAAGAGGTCTGGCCGCTCGTGGGGAGAGCTGGCTCGTCCTGTCTGCGCGCAGCGAGCTGCCACTGATCACACCGGCGGGCGGCTCCGGAATGGTTGTGCTCCGGCACGCCAGCGGCTGGAGGGGCCGCGCGCGTCGGTCGCATCGTGCGGTCGCCCCGCCCAGTGTCGTTCCTCGGGCACCGCGCCCTCATGCGTTGTCCCACTATCCGCA